ACAGGAACCTTTGGTGCCAGAGCAGGAACCTTTGTCACAGGAACCTTTGGTGCCAGAGCAGGAACCTTTGTCGCAGGAACCACCAGTGCCAGAGCAGGAACTTCGGGCGCAGGAACCTCTGGCACCAGAACAGGAACCTCGGGCGTGGGCACCACGGGTGCCGGAGCAGGAACCTCTGGGGGCGGTGCAGCAGCTGTCGGGATAGGAACCACGGAGGGCTGAGCAGGAGCCGCCAAATCAGGAACCATGGAGAGTGCGGCTGAGGTTTGTGCCTTGGCAGCAGGCCCTGTCCGTTTAAGGAACTTGGGGACCTGCAGGATGGCGTCCTCAGGTGACTTTGCTCCTTTAAGAGCCAGGCGTGTTCCCAGAAACAGGCAAGCTGCCAGGTTTTTTTAAAAAAAATTTTTCGTTGCCCACCACCACCACCAGGTCTAGTAGCGAAGCAGCGGACAAACTTTGGGCTTCTGCATGGGTGAGGCGGCGGTGACGTCAGGGATGAATACCAGAATCTGGGAGGGATTCCTCCCGAAACGCAGCAGGACAGGCAACGGAAACAGAGACGGCCCCTAGGAAGAGCTCCAGAGTGTCTTTCTGTTTCCGCTTTTTTCTGCTGCCCTTTTTCGGTGGAGCCTGGGGTACCTCTGGCAGTTCCGTCAGTGGACCATAAGGCAAGCCATAGTTGGTGGCTACCTGCTGCATCATCACCTCTGCCACTCCACTCCTGAGCCGCCGCAAATTCCCTCACACCTTTTCCGTGAGGTGCGGGTCCCTTAACGGATACATATTCTGCAATATATCCCCCGAACGAGCAGCCAGAGCGTCAATGTATTCTGCCTCGCTCAGCTGAGGCGTCTAGTTCAGGAGTCCGGTCATTCTGTCACGGCGTATGCGGGACGCGAAGTGGAGACTGATGAGCGGCAGTCAGGAAATCTGGGAACACGGGGTTCAATCAAAAGGGTAGAGACAAGCAAGCAAAACACGCAATTACTTTACAATGACCGGACTGAGAAAACAAACTTAAACGCAGACTTAAATACACCAGACTAATAACAGCAACAAGAAACAGCTGATAAACACGGTGATTCCACACGAGATTAATGAGGGGGCGTGACACACGGAAGGAGCGAATGATCGGGACAGGACAGGCAGGTCATATCAGGAGCAGCATTTTAAAAGGCCTCTAAAAAGAGCAGCAGTAGTGGAATTTAAAGTACATGAACAATAGCTTAGGCTGGAGGTAGCAGTCAAGCGGAGGGATGATGGCACACTAGTAGGTTTGTGGTCAGAAAAAGTGGCATCCAAAATATTTGCAGTACTAACAAGTACACCAGTTGATAAAATAAGATCAAGCATATGACCATGCTTATGAGTACAGCTATTTACAGATAAAGTCAAATTAAGAGTACATCACTTTTTCGCCAGGTACCCAAAATGCTGCCATGCAAAAGATTTAAAAGTGTCTGGGGCATCTGCTACGGTAATTTTGCCAGACGCCAACATGCTTACATGAGCTGATTTGCAAGCGCCTTCGCGAGACCACTTTTCACTACAACGAGAAATCTTGTCATGTTGTAATATCGCTAATCAATAATGAACAGCAGTACTAGAAACTAGAATATTTTTTGGTGACAAGGGATTTAAAGCATTTCTTTAAAAGCAACTGTAACACCACCACCGCAACCAGTAGTAGACACTAAACTGTTTACCGGCCATAATGTATTTAATCGTGTTTATGTTTCTCATAGGCTATTAAGTTCAACATAATTAGAAGTGTTTTACTTCCTTTTCGTTTGTATTCCCGGATGTCACAGCCAAAGTACAGATGATGTGCTTTCTTCACAAGAGCAGTCATTGAGCTTCTCTGAGGCGCAAGCGTATATTCGTCACAAATATAGAAGTATGTATTGCGACTGTTATGGCATTGAGCAGACATATTGACAGACACCAATCATCCTGCAAATGTCTATAGCATCTAGCTTACTTGTATATTGCTACTGAGGAAATGTTATATTCTGAAACAATACATACACACTATCAGGTCTATATTAACCCAATGAGCAGCATCTGTGTATGCAGGCCACTTCTATAGCCTGCTGAGGCAGTGTCAAGCTGGCTCCGGCCAGGCCAGGCTCTGAACTTCCACAAAACAATTTCCAACCTGGCCTGATTCCATGCCTGGACATGCTCAGACTGTACAAAACATTGTTGATAGGTATCTTACAGAAACAAAATTTTTTGGACAAAAAGCCATCCTTGTTTCCTGTCTCCCTAACTGTTCCAATTAAAGCGGGATGGGACAGGGCCAGTTTTGAGACGCTTCCGATGTGCAGATGGAAAGTAGTCTTTTTTGGTAAAATGCAGACTACATACAAAAGAGCTATCTCGATTAACATGAAATGCTGCACTTTCAAGTTTACCCCTGAGCATCACAGGGGCCAGAGCGTTGCCTATCCCACCACAGGGGCCCCTGAGATTCACCCCAGAGGGTTCGCCTAGCCTCTCCAAAGCTGACTTGTCTGGGGGCCAGAGGTTGTGGGCCCCACATGCATATCTTAGTGTGGGCCCCACAAAGGTAGTGTCTTTGCCCCTTTAAAACATCTGTCTAGGGCTGAGAGACGGAGCTCCGGAGCAAGAGCTCATGGGTTTGAATCCAGCTTCAGCCGTACCTCCAAAATAAGTCTGAAAATACCCCTACTTGGCTTATATGTACCTTACTTCATCAAAACTTTATATATTAATATATTTTGTATTACACTCCATACATTATATTATTCATTTATTGTTCTATATTTGACTTATTGTAGAGAGGTTTGGGGCAATACATATAAAACAAATAGTAAATGTTTGTGTTACAAAAGAAAGCTATGAGAATTTTATATAAAATGTGTCATGCGGTGGCAAGGCACGGACCAGGGAAGCAGGCAAAGGAGAGCAGGACTGGGGTAAAATTAAACCTGAAAACGAAGGGGCATCTGGAACAAACAGCACATAACACTACAATGACAGAACTAGGGAAATGAACTCTGACATGGACTTAAATACACCAAACTAATAAGGACAACTTGAAACAGCTGGTGAACACTGGGAATCCACATGAGGTTAACGAGGGGGGGCGTGGCACGATCGGGGTGCGACAGAACCCTCTCCCCCCCAAAGGCCCGCGCCCCAGGGGAGCGGAGGAGCGGGACTGGGGACACGGGACCTGGAAAACAAAAGCAAAACATCAACGGGGCACAGGGAACAAGACAGACCCGACCTCGGCGCAGGTGTCCCCTCCCTTTCCGAGAGACTGAGAGGCGGGGACCCGGCCAGGACCTGCCACGCTGGGGTGATGGTGGAGGAGTCACTGGGGAGGTCAGGGTGATCCCTGAGGGGTCCCATTCAAGCTCCTCCTCCATCTCCACTAAGGGAGGAGGAGTGATGGTTCGACAGATGGGGACCTCCTCAGGGACTGGGACCGGCAGCACGGAAGTAGTGTCCGGGGGGGATCAGGGATCCAGGGGTAGAGCAGAAACCCCAGGGGACGAAGCAGGAAACAAGGGGGATGCCACATCAGCCACTGGCTCAGGAACCACGGGGACTGGGCAGGCATGGCCGACGCAGGGACCTCAGGTGCCGAAGCAGGAGGTGCAGGGACCTCAGGCGATGAAGCAGGAGGCACTGGAACCACAAGAGGTACAGGAGCGCTGCAGGCATGGGAACCACAGGGGGCGCTGCAGGGACCTCGGGCGACGAAGCAGGGGGCACGGGAACCACAGGGGGCGCTGCAGCCACAGGAGACTCGGGGAATGCCGCAAGAAGTTGCGTTCTGAGTGTGGCCAATTTGTC